CAGGGACAGACTACCTAGGTTTCTACTGAGGCCCTAACACTTCCTGTCCACCTGACCTTAGTCAAGGCACAAAACCTGTCTGCCCCTTTGCTTCCTAACCTGTAAAAAAGGAATGATAACAGTACCTACACTCAGAAGACGAGTGTGAGAAATCAATGAATATATAAAGTGCTTAGAAGAGTGTCTAGCACACAGTAGATAATAAATGTCAGTTACTATTATCTTAGGTTAAATAATAAAACTTGCAGATAAAATCAGCTATTAAAATTTATAATCTAATAAAAGCAAATCTGTATGAACAACAAAAAAAGTATAATCTATTTAAAAGAACACATAAAATTATTTCAGAAAAATTACAAGTAAAATAAACAGTGATAATTGTAGGCTCTAGCCCTTGGTGGCACACCAAAACATCAAAATTGTACCTAGAGGTAAAGCACTCCTGTACCCCTTAGAAGAAGGCTCACAGGTTATTTAATCATAGTAAAAATACTTGTATATCCATATGCAGGAAGTCTCAGCAACCTTACTGCATTGGCATAGAGTAGACCCTCAGTAATTACTGGTCCTTAGAATAAATGAATAAACTGTTCCACTTAGTATACTAGGCAACTTTGGTACCAGAGGTCTTCTGGTGAAGAAATTTTCTTTGCTAAAATGTACAGATGAAGATGTCTCTGACTATAATACACCATGATCTCTGGGGGATGCTGTGTTGCTTTGCTGATCTTTATATGACCCGACCTAATTAAATTATAGTACCTGTGCCAATTAAGTAACTGATTAACTGAATAGTTTGAACCTCATGGAGGTTCAAACATAAAGAATTATATTCTTTTCAATTCCCTGACCTCAGCAACACTAAACCGAATCTCCTTTCCCAGTATGAGTAGATTCCTGAAAAATACCTGAAATAGATCCCAGAATTTTTAGGTCACTTTCAGCTATTAACAACTCACCCAGTTTAAAATGCCAATCAAATGTCCAAAGAAGGACTTCCCCAGGATCTTTTGGTCCAGGGTCCAGGGAAATAGAGAGGGGTCCTTACTATGCCAAAACTAAGAATGCAGGCCGATCCAAGTCTCCTTGTGTCTGCTGCCAACTTCTCCAATTTTCTTTCTGCCTCACTGAGCGGGTGTAGGGCCCAGCAATAAATATATGCCTATAATATTTCTTGCTTCTCACCAAAGAGAAGACATTTCTTGCCAGCAACAACCCCTATCTTTGGGAAGTCTCCTCATGCACTCCTCCTCCCATGCCAGCCCACAGGAATGAAACTGGGGAAGGATGAGTGGTTAGTTCTTGGGCTGGCTGGTTCCTGGTCCTTCCTTCATAAGGCCTAAAGCTTCTGGTTTAATGACAGAAGAAGAAATAGTGGAGGTAAAACTAACTACCCAGGGTTATGTTTTTATTTTTGTGTCTGTTCCTGCTAATTCCACTAAGACTGAACGACCTTGTCAGGGGATACCAAGCGCAGGGATGATAAACAAAATATTTAATAGGCAGGGTGCCAACTGGGCAGATGGGATGTGGTTTTAGAGCTGGAGCAGGGTCCTGCAGGCTCCTTGTGTGCCCTCTAGTTGCTGGAAGGATCAGCAATGCTGCCAGGGTATTCAGGGGGTTTGGGTCACAGTCTTTGTACTAACAAGACCAAGTATTTTAGTAACAGGACAGCTGTACTGATGCAAACCAGCTGAACATCACTCCCGCTTACGGGAGCTCGTCCGTGTTCTGAGCAAAGCTGTCTCTATCGAGTACTTACTGATGTAAGAGCCTGTCCCATGGTGCCAGGCCAGCCCTCTGCCAACCCCTCCCCATGACCATCCCACGGCCTCTTGTCTGATCAAACTGAACTACTCTCTATTTGTCCAATTGTCCCCTGGGAAATACACACATTTTTACAATGCCAAAACTGAGTAAAGCAGGCCAGTCCAAGTCTCTCCCTGATGCCAACTTCCTCTGGTTCTTTTTTACCTGCTCAGACAGGTGAAGGGTACAGCATAAATCTATGTCTAAAGTATTTCTTGCAAGTACCACCCCCAATCTTTAAACTATTCTAGATGACTGGAGAGCTGTGATACCCCCACTCACTGATGACTTGGGGGTTAAGGTGAGGATGAGAGGAGAAACCTCTACAGCAGTAAGTATATAAAACAGTACTTGAATCAGGCATCTCTTCATAAATCCCCAGAGAAGGGTCTGGCCCAGGTGGGAGGTGGCTTCTTGGAGGCTTTCCCTTTGGAATGTGCTCCCTGAAAGCTATTCCTTCGCATTTCAGACAATACCACCAATTCTGGCCAACAGAAAAAATCCTCCTCAACATTCTGGTATACTTACTTAAAAAGGCACCTAACTTAATGAAATATTATGTTTTGTTCAAGAAAAATGAGCATTAAAAACACATGGGATAAAAAAAAGGCGAGGAAGCCTTTTCTACTGGAGACTATCTGGAGATGCAGACTGATCCATTGTGCACACATTTATATTTAATTAGAAACTGGGGAGGCTTTAGGATGTTACTCTAAAACAGTCTATTAGCATTATGGGATGATATTCATGTGGCAGAAATAATGTGAGAAGATTTTCTTGGTAAATTAATTTTTAGCGACCCCGTTTCATCAAAAGCATATATTTTTACTCAGATGTTATAAGAAAATAAGTCTGAGTATAAGCTGATTTGCTATAATTGAAATAGGCTTATTGCAGTCATTTCACCCCTTTAAATTATGATCCCAGCATTCAAACATCTGTTAGACCATAGCATCTGTTTCATATTTGGGATGCATCCCTACAAATTATAAGAGTATTCTTTTTTAAAGAGCTCTGATTAATAGAGAATCCCTTTTTTATGACTTCTGCCAAAGAAAGAAAACGAGAAGACAAATTCACCTCTAACATCCCCTCCACAATAAAGTACCTCAAAGGCCCACACTGTTCAAATACAAAACTGTTTAATAAAGACACACTAATATTGAAAGTTGGGTTGTTTTACAATTAGTGTTTAAAATTTAAGAAACCATTTGTATCCATTCACTTATCGATGGACACCGAGGCTCCTCCATATCTTGGCTATTATAAATAATGCAGCAATGAACATATAGGTGGAGATATATTTTCAAATTAATGTTTTTGTTTTCTTTTATATTTAAATAAAAAATAGAAATAAAAACCATATGTATGTTTGTACATATGTGTATGTACAAATGAAGAGAGGGCCACATATTCTTATTATTCAAGAAAGATAATCACTTCTTTCAAATAAATTATCTTGACAATCTACATAGTCTTTTTTTTTAAAAAAAACATTTTATTTATTTATTTTTTATCCTCATCCGAGGACATTTTCCCATTTTTTGTTCAGATAGAGTAGGAGGGAGAGAGAGGAAGACAGAGAGAGAGAAACATCGATGTGAAAGAGACACATCGAGTGGTTGCCACCACACAATCCAACCAGGGCCGGGGACAAACTGCAACCAAGGTACATGCCCTTAGCGGGAACCGAACCTGGGTCTCTCTGGACCACAGGCCGATGCTCTAACTGCTGAGCCAAACCAGCCAGGGCACAATCTACATAGTCTTAAAGACACCAGACAAATTCATGACCTCTAAGTCTTGTTTACAACTTTAACTCCAAAGGCACATTCGTTGCCATTTCAATTCTACCTAAGGTAGTACTTCTCTACTGACTCACCCAGTTCTTTTTAAAACTGTTTCCTGTGGTCTTCGTAAGTTTTCTAGTCATTTGTAGATCTACCTGTCAGCCTGATGTCAGATAACAATGGGTGAGTTTGGTCCACTGTTTACATCCTCCTTTACTGTTTTAGGCCTTTTAATTTTGATATGGCTAGACTTTAAAAGCTTAATGTTAAGCTATTAAAAACTCCTAAATTTTTATGATACAAGCTGCCACAAAATTTAGAAAAAAATAGGTTATCCCATTAAGTTAACAAACTACATAAGATTTACAAAAGAACTACATCATTAAACAACCAACAAAATCTCAGAAGGAACTCAGGGGAAGAAAGCCAGAAACATGAGAGAAAAGAAAAAGTTTGTGCTTCCTAATCTGTCTCACAAAAGAAGGAGCTATTACTATAGTGGCCTAAAGACCTTTCTTCCACATACTCCCCTAAGGCGGAGTAGTTACAGCTTGGCACAGGCATTGCTTCTGCCCACCCTGAAAACTGCCCCTGGCATCGTTCTCCCCGGCCTATTCCCCACCAAGCGAGGGTTCTGTTCCTCACAGGCTTTAGAAAAAACCACTTTCTACTTTGCCAAAGAAATTTTAAACGCATGCCACATCGGATATACAACTGATAGATGTTATAAAACCAGACATTAGCCCGACCAGTGTGGTTCACTGGATTGAGCATTGTCCCATGGACTGAGAGGTCCTGGTTCCATTCCCAGTCAGGGCACATGCCCAGGTTTTAGGCTCAGTCCCCAGTAGGGAGCATGCAGGAGGCAGCCATCGATGATGTTTCTATATCTTTCCCCCTTCCTCTCTCTCTAAAAAAATCAATAAAAACGTATTAAAAAAAACAAAACAAAAAACAAAAATAAAACCAGACTTTAGAACATGTCATTTGAGTTCTTCACTAAAAACAAAAAAATTAAAACATCAACCACCTGACTTAAAAGTAGTGCATTCTAGGGATTTGCAGACATTGTAAGAGAAATCAGTGAAGAGGAAAATGACCTGGACCATTCTCCTGTTTAAACAATTGGAGAGAGATAAAACTGTTCTTAAAAATATTACTACCTATGAAAAAGATTTTGGAATTTCCCTGGGTAACCTTTTTCAATGCTTAATGATCTTTAGTAGCAAAACCCCTTTCCTTTCTAAAGTAAAGGTTAACCTTCTCATTGTTGAAAATTAGATGCAACACAATTTATGGTCAAAGGTGAGATGGCACAGTTTAAGAACCATTATTATAATTAACTCGTTGCGATTTCCACATCCTCATAGCTTATATCTCAGTGTATACTCAGAGACTTGCCTCTGCCAGTTGAAAGAGTGCAGACTTTCCACAACGCTTGACAGGTTCAGCACCACCCAACTGCGAAGTGTTTGAAGAAATCTATATTGAAAACAATTCACATAAAGAATATTAGTTGTAAGATCGGAATCCTTGCTTCCCCTTCACACACATTCAGGAACTTTCCTCAGTTTATGAAAACATCATTGCTCCCAAGTACAGTGGGACCTCAGTTATCGAACTTAATTAGTTTCTAAAGGCTGTTTAAGAAGTGATTTGTTAAAAAAATCGAATCATTTTTTTCCCCATTAGAAATGATATAAAATGAATTAACCCATTCTAGACCCTCGAATGATTCTCCTTTTATTCCCAATGGCCCGTGATCGCTGTTTCCTGAGCACTTTCACACTCTTGGCAACATCAGTACTCTTCATGGCCTCTTTATGATTTTGCCATGCCATACTCGACAGCCCGATCAGACATGTGAACACCTCTATCATACTTTGCAATTATTTCTTTTTTAAGCTCTATCGTTGTTCTCCCAACTTTCCTTTTCACGTTGCTATCACTAGCCTTCTGCGGAGTCATGGTGACTTACTGTATGTATTTAATAATAATAAGCAGCAACAAAAGCAAAAACCCCCAGAAATATTCACAGCACGATTTCCTGAGATGTCAAGAACGTGAGGTTTAGCAGTAAACTGACTCAAACTCGTGCATTCTCTCCTGTGTTTGTTGCCTGAGAGACATGTAACCAATCACACAGATATCAGAATGAAACAGTGGTCAGGTCGAGAATTGAAGTTTTTTTCAGTAACTGAGGCAATTTTTTTCATGAACAACTTGGTGGAGCAGATGGGAGACATTCAAAACTGAGGTTTAACTGTACCAAATAATGTTAAACATGGCATGTTTGGGATAGTAATTTTGAAACCAACTGTAGTAAATAACCCCTAAAATAGTAACAAAAAGTAGGCATGACTTTGGTGGCTATTTAATGACAAGAGTATTATCTTTTTATATTACAGGCTTTAAATTTAATTCTTTAACCTTACAAGGAGACATGCATTTCCATTTCTGTATAAATATCAACTCATCAACTGGTCAAATATAAAAGAGCCATTTAGAGTCAATTTGTATTTACCTAAGCAACTAGTTAATGTTTTTTAAAGGAATATATTTGGGAGCTCTGAGGAAAGGGGATCAAGCCGAATATTTTTTTGAGAAGCCAACATAAATATCCTAAGCGGTATGGCAGGAGCTGGGGAAGCTAAGAATTTTATACAAAACCTTGGCTCTGACTTGGAGGTCATGCTCTAATGTACACACGAAGATTGACAATCAAGACCATAAATCTAAAAAGTTGTACAATTAAGGACCTATGTTATAGCATATGCACACTTATACAACATTACACTGACTGCATACTCTTTTTTTGGCCTGGCTCAACAGCAGCCTGGCACTGGTAACAATGAACAGCATTTTCCTCTCTCTCTCTCTCTTTTTTATAGAGTGAGAGGGAGGGAGAGAGAGAGAAACATCAATGTGAGAGAGACACATTGACTGGTTGCCTCCCGTAAACCCTGACCAGGGCCCGGGACAAACTGCAACTGAGGTACGTGCCCTTGACCGGAATCGAACCCACATGTCTTTGGTCCATGGGCTGATGCTCTAACCATTGAGCAAAACCAACCAGGGCTCCTTTCTCATCTTTTATATAAAAATTTCATTTTCAATTTCTAGCCGAACTCAGTCAAGAGCTGAGAAGGACACACATTAAGGATCCTTCAAAGTATGCTTCCCCTGGAGAAGTTCTGTAATCATTAGAGCAGCTAGCTGACTTTTTGTATTCTCTGTGATTCCAAACTCTTTCTTAGTTTAAGCTAGAGGTATTCTCAGTTCAGTTAAGGAGGCAATCCTGCCTTCGGTGACCCCAGTCCCACAGGGGAGCCTATGGAGCTGTCAGCTCCAAGAGAGATCGGGTGCTTTGCTGCTGGAGGGAATTCTCCCTAGAACACCTGCTGCGTAAGAGGCCTTCGTAGAGGCAAATATTTAATTACCTGGGCTATTTAGAAGAGGCTAATTTAAGAAGTTTTAAGGACTTTTTCCCCCCCCAGGTGCTATCATTTTTAACAGAGTTCTTTCTTATTCATCCTAGTCACTTTTTCTTTAGAAGATCAATTTGGGGCTCAATCTTTCTCAAGTTTGGGAAAATTTCCTCTAGCTGAATTTTCTGATATATGCCACTTCTGCTTTTTCTAGACAAGCTGAATTTAATTACTCACCTTATCACTAGACTAAGAGAAACAAACACATTAATATAATCACCGATTCTCAGTGACTTGAGGGAATGAAGAACGGAACATGAATGTCAGTCCCTTGAACCAAGATTGTACAACAGAAAGAACACGGCTTTTGTGCCAGACAAGCGCGCCTTCATTAACTTTCTGCTGTGTGGACTTCAGCAAATAATTAAGACTGTGAGCCTCATTTATCTCACCTTCAAAATAGAAACAAGAATGCCTGCCCCGTATGCCTATTGTGAAGATTAGACTTTATGTTGGCGAAGAGCTGGAACTGTGCTGATGCTAAGCCCATATTATGCTTTCCATAAATAATGTATTTATTAGTAATAAGGACCTATCACTATTAACACTAATAAACATAAACTCTGTTAGTACAATTCCAAAAATTACACAATGAAATAGGACCAGAATTAAAATTGCAATGTCAGAGGATAATAATCAAATTTAATAACCTGTATAATATTACATCTGTCCCATAACCAGACACCACCTCATGAACGACTAAAGGACAAGCAGCTGGGTGGGGCTGCACTGACAGCCCAAGACGCTGTTTCTAGTTCCTCCACTGGCTCCCTCTGCTGTCGCTTCTGTTGCTGTAGGTTTCTGCTCCCCGATTCTGTCTGTTTACTACCACAGATCCTGTGCCTGATGCAGTGCACAGCACACCCGAGAGGCTCAATGAAGAACTAATGAGAGCATGGATGTATTATGTACCATCTGAGTTTATGCTCAGCTGTCCAAGTCAGGACTTGAGAATGATTCCTTGCCTTTCGAAAGGAATCACTTGTGTTTAGTGGGAACAATTTTCCTCATTGTCCACAGGAGGATTTTTACCTATTTTTAGGTATAGGGCAGTATTTTAAATGCTCAAAGTTGCTGGAAACCTGATATCCAAAGGGGCATGCGTGGGAAGAATCAATGTATTTTAGCCCAACATTTATGTTACAGTAAAGTTTTCATGGAATGTCTTAGTGACAAGATACGCTCTCTAAAAATGTCTTTGGCTTATTAATTGATGTGGGGGTCTGAAAAACCAAACGTATGTCAACGTCCATGGCTTGAGTCTTTTCTTGTTCCTCTGCAGCATTCCGCACAGCTGACTCTTCTGGAGAATTCCTCTCTGGGCTTCTATCACTACAGGGTCCTTGTTTTCCTCCTACTCTCAGGCCAACCCTTGTTGTTCTCCTTTGCTGGCTATCTTTTCTATAGTGATCCCTCAGGATTTTGCCTTAAGGCCCCCTCTCTTTTTATTCATACGGTTTCCTCTTCTACTCTGACGTTCTAAATTATAAGCATGGTTTGTACAATGCCCATCTGTTACATGTTATACCATAGTCCATTCCCTCCCAGCTTTTTTTTTTTCTATTTAAGACATATACTTCCTTTCAAGTAAGAACAATGTAGTTAACACATGTTTTTCAATGACTGGTCAGCTAGTGGTGGGAAGTGCATGTTATGTTACACTCCTGAGTGGAAGTCACTAGTGGGCCACGCTGCATAGTATGTTCATGCTTTGCCTTTTATTTTCCTTGAGTTGACGGTGCTTGACAATCTGTTAATTCCACTGTAGTCTCTCCTCTGGTTACTATGCAAAGTTTAGATTTAAAAAAAAAAAAAAAAAAAAAAGGTTGGGTGTAATAGTACATGAGGTACAGCAAAACTGCTATGAAAAATTCTCACCCTGGCCCTGACTGGGTTTATCAATGGTTAGAGTGTTAGCATGAGGTCCAGAGAGACCCGGGTTTGGTTCCCTCTGAACACGTACCTCAGTTGCAGTTTGTCCCTGGCCCTGGTGGGTCATGCGGGAGGCAGACACTTGATGTCCCTTTCACGTCAATGTTTCTCTCTCTCTCTTCTTCTCTCTCCCTCCTACTCTGTCTGAATAAAAAATGGGAAAATGTCCTTGGGCGGGGATGAAAAAAAAAGAAAAATTCTCACCTTGGATGTTAAACCACTAATTTTATAGCTGGCCTGAGGTACAGGTGTGAACTAAGAAAACAGGTGGTAAAGATCAAAAGCAAACTAGATAATGGTGGTAGTCTTCTGCAACTATAAGCGGTATCATAAACACTATGCCCTCCAAAAAAATGACCAATAATAACTGAATAAATAAGTAAATCAAAGAAGAAATGAACAAAGTGAGAAGACTGGTCTACCTATCTTAAAAGAAATATTAACGTTTCCAATAAAACACGAAACATTCTCACACTGATTAGCTGCAGTGTGAGTATAAAGTGTTCTTTCTAGTGTAATATTCTATAACACATTGAGCATTTCATCATGAAAACAAATGCCTTAAATTTGCACCTATTGCATGTATTCACTTGTGACAGTGCCTTAAACTTGGAGTATTTATACAGGCAAAATAAATACCTTTTAAGGAAAGTTTTAATATCTAAATCTATTTGTCTAAATCATCCACATCAGCTGTCTTCAAAGTAAATGTGCAATTTTTCAATGCAAAGATATGCTCTAGGTGTAAGAGTCAGCCACAGAGCATAGAATAGGGTCATGGCTTTCAGATTTGTTAAATAATGGAAGACAAGAGCTCTCTTCTGGCATTACATGTGGTCATTAGTCTTCAGTAAATGACATCTAAAACGTGACAGATGCATTATACTGCCTGTAAATAACGAAAAATGCAGATAGGAAACTCATTCTAACCAAATTAGTAAGTAGGAGCCTGGAAACTGTTAGGGCTCTTCACATGGGCCAGGCTGAATCTAGATGAACTGTTTAGTGTCAGTAAGGAACGGGAGATGGGCTGACATGGGGCATTAACAGATTCTGCACTCTTTCTTACTTTCTAGATCTTATAAAGCAGACCTATTTTCTCCCTTTAAATGTAAGCATTCATTAGAAATCGAACCAACAAAAATGTTCTTTATTCAGTTTCATGGCTCTGTATAGGTTAACTTCAACGAGTAGTAAAACATCAGAATTGGTCAAGAAGGAAAAATATCCTTCTCAGCTTGCAAGGCAGAGACTTAGGACTCAATGTGAAAGAAAACATTTTCATTTTAAAGAAATGCCCAAGGCTTCCCGTTTTTTAAAAGGTGTTTCTAGGATAAGACGTTGCACAATAAATGACCCACTGCTAAGAGAAGATCTAGCTAATCTCTCTTCCTGGAGTTAGCAACATTTGTAAAATGAATTAGCAGGAACAATCTCTAAGAATTTTGCAAGTCTGATCTTAAAATTACATTACAGTTAAACATTTAAGTAAGCTGATTCCTAAATCATATAAAAATCTACTTCTGAAGAAAAACAAGTGTACATAATAGAACTGAGAATCCCTCTGAAAATGGATGGGGGTATAAAATGGCCCACAGGGAAATTTCTTATCATACATTCATCCCTTCCTCACTTTGTCCTTTCCCCAGGAGGTCCCAGAAATACTAGAAGTGTCTTAATAATGACAAATGAACAACTTGTGACAAGAACTGTAAACTATAGAGCGGTGGTCTCAAACTCTTGCTTCCTGATAGGAAACTTTTTGGAAATGTAAATTTTCAGACTCTATTCCAGACTCAATATATCAGAAACTTTGGGGGTGGGACTCAGCAATCTGTGTTTGAATAAGACTTCAGGGTGATTCTGGTGTTATTTAAAGTTTGAGAACCTCTACTAAGACTAATTAAAACAAGAATTTCTAGAGTCTGTGTTTTCTCTAAGGTGATGGGTGTTTTATGAAGTAATTATAAGAACTTTAGGGATATGATTACAGTAATTACAGCCTATTGTATTTCTGCAATATATATGCTCATAGCAGATATTAGCTCATCTAGTTAGGTCTTGTTTAGTTTTAAATAAACCAGCCCAGTACTAGGTTGACAATAAGGTCAACTCATAAGATGTTAATAGACTGAACTTTACTTACTTAGGGTTCTCTTGGGTTAGGGGAGGAAAGTGACCAGAGAGGCTATATATTAAAGAGAATCATTCACTTCTCTTGTATAATCATATATAGCATTTACAACTCAATAACAAGGTATGTAATAACTTGTTTAATCTGCTTAGAAATTAAAATCTCATATTATCAAAGTAGGCAAAATACAACTAGGAAAAATAATATACTGAGTTGGAAGGGGAAATTGCATTTGATTTTAGGGCAAAATATTTTATTTTGTTTTTCCATCATGCATGCCTTCCCTCTGTTAAGATGTGTTGAAATAACAACTAATAAGTTTCCAAATCAACAATTTTTTTAAAGTTTCCTGAAATCTTCTGTATGTCTCATGGTCAAAACAATAGAAGCCCTCAGGACACAAGTGTTACTGAGCAGATGACATCTGGGAACATCTCCTTGAACAACTCCCAAGTCAGAAGAGGTTCTTTTCTTCCCCAGGGAAGAAACAAACAAACACATACCTCCTCGTGCTCTGAGGAGTGTGTACACTGAACAGCAAGGACAAACCGACTTGTGTTAAGAGAGGCATGAAAACTTGTCCTCCAGAATCACAGGACAGAGGCTCTTATACCATCAGACTCCTTCAGAGTTGCCCAGGGCTTCTAATAAATCTGATGATGGTATGGTTTAAATAACAATCACGCTCTGAGTGGTGATAACTGTCAGAAATGCACCAGCACCGGATGGCTGAGATATCCCATACTTTTATTTTAAATTAAGCTGAATACTCTTGGTAGTTAATGTGTAAATATCAGGTGTGTCAAAGACGAGCCACTGCCTTTCCAAAACTCATGCTAGCGTGTACAATTCAATCAAACAGAATATGTGGCAAATACATTCTGTTTTGAAGAAAGTCTTTCCAAAAAGTGGAATGGGACTGGCCCAGGTATCAAGATTAAAGATAAATTTGTCACCATGCCAAAATTCTTTTTTGTTGTTGTTGTTAATCCTTACCTGAGGATATTTTTTCCATTGATTTCCAGAGAGTGGAGGGGAGCAAGAGAGGGAGGGAGAGAGAGGGAAACAATGATGATTGGTTGCCTCCCATACTGCACTGAGACTGGCTCAGGGTTTGAACCTGCATCCGAGGTATGTGCCCTTGACCAGGAATTGAACCTGTGACCTTTTGGTCCATGGGCTGACATTTTAACCACTGAGCCAAACCAACCAGGGCCCCAAATTCTTTTTTAACTCTTGAAAGAGTTATTAGCACCAAATATATGAATGTCAACAACTGGAGGAAAGCAAGGAAATGCTGAACAAAACTATTTCCCTAGACAATGAAAATAGCCTGTTTATCATAATGAAAAATTATAATAAAATCTTAATTTTTTTCAGATTCATCAAGCAAATTGTTCATGAAATGATAACACTTTATATTGTTTTAGCACTTTCATAGCACAGCCCTCTATAGCTCACGTAGACTGGCAGTGAGCTCTAGCAGATTAGCAAGCCGATTGGTAGTATCAAGTCACAGTGATTGACACGACTGTCCCAAGAGGAAGCAACTTTGTTTTTAACGTTAAGGGCTAAAAGTAGTTTTTCTCATTTTCAAAGTAAGATGTTGGGTTTTCTCCTGCCAAAAGGATATCATTTTATATTTCACTTATGCAGCGCTCTTTATTGAGTGAATCAAAGTGACTCAATACATCAATATTAAACAGAACAGTCCTGCTTGTCATTTCCTCTCAACTCCATACAAAATGGCTCAGTTTATGCTATGCATTTTTTGCTGGAATTAATAAAAAGAAAAAGGGGAAAAGACCTAAAGCAGGCATCTTATTTTCAAGAAATATATACATTTTATTATTTATCATTAGCAATGAGCCTATGGAGGAAGCTGGGGCTTTGTGGCAAAATCAAGCATATCAGATTTGCCTTCTAATCAAACCAACCAAGAAAATGCTCTCTAGTGTGTGCTCTCTCTGCTGGATAAACTAAAGAAATCCCAGATCCTTCAAGAGCTGACCGGACCCAAGCTTGAGATTAAACACTAATAAAAATACTGGCTGAGCCCTAGCTAGTTTGGCTCTGTGGTTAGAGCATCAGCCCACGGACCAAAGAGTCACAAATTCAATTCCGGCCAAGGGCACGTACCTTGGTTGCGGTTCATCCCCGCCCTGGTTAGGTGGCATGGGAGGCGACCAGTGGATGTGTCTGTCTCTCTAACACTGATGTTTCTCTCTCTCTTTCTCTCTCTGTCGCTCTCTCTCTCCCCCTCCTTCCCTCCCTCCCTCTCATTCTATCTGAAGATAAATGGAAAAAAAATATTCTCAGTGAGAATTAAAAAAAAAAATACTGGCTGAAGCTACACCACAATGAAAGCTAAGCGCTGATGATTTCACAGGTCAAATTCACACTGCATTTGCTCTGAAAGTTATTCATGATATACAGCATATAATTTCACTGTTGAGAAAATTTAATAAATTGGAATCCTATGGCCTTCATGTTGACAGTAGTTTTTCCAAACTTTAAAAACAAATAAAAAACAAGGCAAAATGAAATAATTACTGGAAAGTGTTTATTCTGAATGAACTCTTTAATGAATGGTTATAAAATGGGTATAAAATATGGAGCTGGCCCTGGCCAGTTTGGCTCAGTGGTTAGAGTGTTGGCCCTCAGACCAGAGTTTTGGGTTCGATTCTGGTCAAGGGCATGTACCTCAGTTGCAGTTCAATCCCTGGCCCTGGTTGGGGTCATGCAGGAGGCAACCAATCAATGTGTCTCATTCACAAAGATGTTTCTCTCTCTCTCTCTCTCTCTCTCTCTCTCTCTCTCTCTCTCTCCCCAGCCCTCTTTCCCTCCCACTCTATGTGAAAATCAATGGAAACATATCTTCAGGTGAGGAGTAAAAAAAAAATATATATATATATATATAGAGAGAGAGAGAGAGCTGATCTGACTGTGATTACAGTAAAGATAGCAAAAAGTAATACATATGCTGTTGTGTGTATTATGCCAGGCATGGCAAGAGAGAGGCATGCCTAAAGTTCGCTATATGTTATTAAAACCTCATTCCAATATTTCCTGAGCTCAGTAAGTTTTCTGAACCCAGTAAGTATTAGAAAAAAGAAGGCCATACCTCTGCAAACTGAAACAAGGCTGATGCTTGACACTGTTTTGAAGGAGCATCGGGGTGGGATGTACTTGAAGATATCTAAAAAGAAACAAGTAATTTTTAATGCACAAGGACATTTTCTCATATCAGACTAATAGATTTTGCCATATATTTCCACTGTAGACACAGATAAAGATTAAGACATGAGTCATCACCTTCAATCCCTTTTAGAAGAATAGTATAAATGATAAAGAAAGACAAAGGCCATGTTTCTAAAAACAGATGATTGAAAAGAACAGAAAGATTGAGTTTGGCTAATTTTTCATGTCTCCTTTAAGGGTATCAGGTATGTGTCAAACAGCAGTTGAGACCTATTGAGATGAATTTCCTTCTTTTTTTTTTTATTAATTAATTTATTTTTGTTAGAGATGTTTCTCCATTTTCCCCCACTGACACTCACTGAATTTCTTAACATACTACTAAAAGCTGGAAGCTGCAAGTAAAGCCAGTCACTCTCTCTCTTCCCTACATCACTTCCCCGGAGCTGTTTTCTGCTCAGAGGCAGTTGTGAAATAATACTGGAGAAGCACATGAATGTGGGTCAGGGTATCTGGGGTTGAATCTTAGATATGTTCTTCACTAGCCACATGACCTTGGGCAGCTCAGCTAATCTTTTTGCAACTTGTTTTTCCCAACCGTAAATTGGTGATGATGAAAATCATCTCCATTTTACAGAATTATGATGAGAAGAAAATAAGACATGGCAAGAGAGCCATAGAACCTAATAAACTGTTCACTGAAGATGAACAAACAGCATGTCTTTCTCTTATGACACTGTACACACGTGCGCGCGCACACACACACTTCAGCTGTCTGACAGTGGACAGAGGATTCTGTCCTACCACATTTGGTTTAGTTAGGAGACTTTTTGTTTCCACTTGGTAATTATGGTAGCCTCATTAGTTTGCTCTGAGGGCCATGTGGAAAAACTTTCCAAGGATTTTTTGAGAGCAAGGTCAATTATTAATTTTGGTTCCAAAATGAATACGTTTCTGTCCAGTCACAATATAAGGGGAAAGTGAGTCACAAGAGCAGAAAGCCTGGACGATAAATTCAGCTCATTCCCAGCCCAATCAAAGTCTTTTTCTTTAACTAACGGTGCTCACCAACTCCATCAAAGGGTACTTACTAAGCCAAAATACATCTTAATCATAACTATCAAAATCATTTTTAAATCTCAAATTACATTGGTTAGAAAAACAATGAAACCAATTGGTGATATAGTATCAAAGCAATTTTTAGGGATAAGAAGGGGTAGAGAAAGTGGTGGAATCATTGACTTTATTCACTGCTGAAGCCATTAGGAAAATTTTAATTCCACACAAAGTTCTGAATCAGACATACAAACATTCTTAGAATAAATATCAATAAAATTAAAAAAAAAAAAAAGACCCCCTGATCCTATTTAACTAACTAGATAGAAACAAACTATCATCAATGGGTAAGATTTAATCAAATGCTCCCAAGACACTGAAGACATGTGTGGGTAAAACTGCATCATTTGAAATGATGAACCCCATCATTTCAAAGGACCACCGTGTGCAAGCTGTACAGACTGCAAACATGAATCCACAAGGACTTTCCTGAAGTTCTGAGAATTAGACACTGGGCAGGTCTTACTTCAGACACAACTTTTTATGCCTACCAACCCTCTATAAAAGTCCGAGAAGATAAACAGTTTATGTAAGGGAAGGTGTTTTTCTTCAAGGCTTAAATCAGACAGGGAACAAAAAAGAGAACCAGTGGTATAACCATCTAGATTTCTGAAAGGCATTTTACAAGTTTTTCTTTCAACAAAGGATCTTTTACATATTAATACCGGGACATGGGATATTCAGTTAATGATATGAGTAGGGAGTTCCGGAAGAAGTATTAGATCAGGGACCCTTTATATAAAACAAGGGGTCAAGAAATCTCTTTGGAATCATCCATATGCTGTAGAACCTACAATAATGTACATATGCCAACACAACCAAATTTCATATAAAATTTTAGAGATTTCATTATATCCCTGGGGGTTCAGAGATCAATGGTTAAACATCACCGCTTTCAAAGTTGGGGCCAACATTATTTAACATGAATATAACTTCTGAAGAACAGGGTGAATCCCCTGTTACATGAAGGCTTTAGGAAACAATGTACAAAACAACTGGAATTCAGGGTGCATCTCACAAAGAGACAGAAAGGAAAGTGATATATAAGGAATGTGTGTCAGCAAATACGTCATAACATTCCTATGCTATCTGCAGGGCATTTAGACATATTGCAAACAATGTCTTAAAAGGAATGGCCTAAGGTACCCCTGTAAAAACCAGTCTGCCAATGAGAAAACCACCAGAAAAGGACATTAGAGAGGGAAAAAAATCCGAAACTAAAAGCACACTCTCGTTGTACGAAACTGTTATGCAACAGGCAAATGTTAGGAAGGTTGAGTGAAAGACAATTCAAGCGATCAAAGGAAGACCACGTGCTTTAAAGTTCAGAAAAAATTAATCAATGATGACTCCATATTGAGTTCTAGGGTAAATGAAGATTATTTTGGGAAGCAGTCTTGACCTTTACACTTGATATCAAGGATAATGTGCTTTTCTACATCATCTCTTTTGGCCAATGTTAGAGATGTATTGAGAGTAACAGGTTTGACAATAAGGCTTCAAAAACTGCCACTGCATGCTGAAGTCTCAATGGAAAAAAAAGTAAACTAAAACAAAAGGCATGCATAACCAATCAACAACCATGAGTTGCTTCTGTCTTCTGATTTAACACCTGTAAGTGACTAAGTTCTAACAATAATTCAATTATATTCTTTTCAAAAAATTATTATTATTATTGATTTTAGATAGAGGAAGGGAGTGAGACAGAGACAGAGAGAGAGAGACTAACATCAATCAGTTGCCTCACTCACACATCAAACTCCCAACCTGGGTATGCGCCCTGAACCCAAGACTTTTCAGTGCATTGTACGACACTCCAACCAGCTGAGTCACACCAGCCAGGACTCAATTACATTCTTAATTTTACTATCCATGAATAAAAATTATTGATGAGGCTTAAGTATAATAATACTCAGGGCTTAATAATAAGCTTTTGTAAACATATAGTTATTCCTTAATTAAGAGATTCTGGAGTTCCAAAATATCTTTTCAAAAATTTGATTTTCCCATTTATAGTCAATTGAGCTAAAGCAGAGTTCGTCATCAAGTTACTGTCAACAGCCCAAATTTAAGCTCATTTTACAATGTCTTTATTAAGTATAAATCGCAATATATTACCTCAGCAAACTGAAATAATGGTGACTTCTGACGGAATTCAGGGGATTCTGAAACATCAGGCCTGCACGTGCCAGAGGATATCTGAAACAAGGAAAGACGGGATGAAGCATCACAGGAGGCATTTCTGGAATATAACAGGAGATAAATGCCACCTAACACATTCCTATTTGAGAAAAGAATGACTTTGATTGCCCTAAGTTGAGGCAATACTGTGACAAAAAAAGTATAGTCTGCAAAGTTTTATACAAGGGGCCATTCAACTGTAAATAATGCCATACATAGCATGTGAGCAAGACAATGCATCTTAGAAGGTTAATATTCACCTAAGAAAAATTTCTACAATGATGCCCATTTGACCTCTTGGCTTTCTGTCACCAAACTCAGAGAGGGTCTACTTCTTTCACGTCCTTTTTCTTTGATATTTCACATCATCAGACTACATGAACACAAGAGGTTTGAAAATACAAACCTTTGGGAAAACAAAACTGAAGTCGAATTCATGTTTTCATGCATTTATACACAAGCCTCAATCTTAGAAATGTTAGTTTTTGCATAGGACTTTCTTTTATATTACATGTCTTCTTTTAAACCATGTTCCATGTTGGGTAGACATTTAAGGCTCTGCCATCTTCATTTGTGCTTTTCGTTATTAACAACTATTACAGAAACATAATGTTTTGTTTTGCTTTTCAAAATTCTTGTTATTAATCAAGTTATTGTCTCAGGAAACACATTTCCTCTTCATCTCAATGAACTCAACAAACTCATTTCTGCATCTGGATGATATAATCACTTAGGTAGACAAACTGTAATTCAAAATTTACAGGACTCACAATGTTAGAGAGGGAAGGATTTCATTATTCCTCTGATCTAGCCCTTTTTAACAGCTGAACAAAGTTAGCACTGGAGTGGTAAATAATATCCCACCCCTCTACCCCCAACCTCCTTACCAATATTCAATGATCTTATTCTTTATCTACATGGCACTGAGCACTGATGACCACAAGAGAAAAATATCTGCTTATCGTCCATCTTCTCCCAGGGGTTTTGTTTACTACAGAATCCTAACACTGCCTGGGTACAATACAGATACTCAACAAGTATGTTCTGAATGAACTAAATGCAAATTGTCCACAAGTCTTCTAAATCACAAAACTGTATTCCTTTCTCTCTTTCCTGCATGACAAGGTTAGAGAGTATTAGGGGAAATTTTATCTTTCACTTTAAGAGAAAAATAGAAGTTAAAAATACTTTTAATAACAGTTCTGACATGAAAATATTCAAGTCTACTGTGAAAATGTAAAAAAAACCCAGCAGACAAATCATCTATAGTGTTATCTCCTATAGGTAAGTGCTGTTAATATTCTGTATATATTCTTCCAGTTGTATATGTAGGTAATATTTTCAACAAAACTGGGTTATTGTACTATAGTTATAGAATGTTCTTTTTTAAAGATACATTAATTATTCTGTGTTATTAACCCTTTTCCAATGTAATTTTAATAGTTGCTAGGAATGATATAAGATGGTTGAATCCAATGCAAAGGGCTGACAGTCACCCAGGTTACATTCCTGAGAACAGTTTCTCACTGAACCTCTTCATTAGACACTGAAAATGTGATTCTCAAAAAGCACCACAGACCCTTAGGCAGGTACAAGCATTTGAAACTATAATTGTCACTTCTGGATTTGAAAGAGTAATGGCCACCTTCTCCCAGAGATAAGCTCCATAGAGAAGATGCAAAATTCTAACTAATTTGCCACCTGTGGTCTGGCTGCGAAGCCTGACTCCCTGACTGGCACATGACTATCTGACAAGCAGTGTGCCAAATGGCCCAATAGTGTTTTTATTTGCTCTACAAGGATTTGAAGCCTGGGAGACACAAAATGCACTAAAAAGAAGGCCAACGAATCCTGAATTACAAGCCACAAAATATTCCTCACCAGAATGAGTACTAGAACAAAATATATCTTTATATTGTAATTTAGAAATAAAAAAATCAATACTGTCCTGATTTAAGAAAAGAAATCTTATGTGTTTAGCCCCCAGATATCTTGGTAAATAATCAAGATTTGATTTAAAATCAAGTGTAGGACTAAATGAAAATTATAAAGTGTCCTTATGAAACTTTAATAATGTTGGCTGTACACATGACAGAAATCTAGAAAAGATATATGGAATTGAATATATTATCATTTAAGGTAGCTACACTGCATAAAGCCTATATAATATATATTCTTGAGGATTCCAAAATGGTGGTGAAGTGAATAGAATCTACACCGACCACCTCCAAGGACCAAACTGGAATTACAACTAAAATAAAGACAAATCGTCAGAAAAAGGCAACAGAAAAGCAGTTTGCGAGGACCATATAACCAGGGACACTGAATTGATCCTGGAAGGACTGCAGAGGCACGAGAGGGGGGCTGGGAGGCCACGGACAGGAGCAGTCTTAGCTGCGAGCAGTGCCCTCGGAGTTAAAATCCCAAGCCCACTCCACAGCGCAGAGGGCCTAGACAGAGTGCTAAAATAGCCACAGCCACTCACCTTCGGTTCCGGCACCGGGAGGGCAGACTGGACTGGACCTGTGTGGGGACACGTGGGATTTGGAGGGAACTCAAAGCTTTTGCTGAGTTGAGGCCATCTGACTCCTTTCCAGGGCTCTAAGGAGAGGTGGTGGCCCCTCCCTCAGGGATTCAATCCCACCCAGGTGGGCCATGGAAATGCAGATTGAGGCTAATTAACAAACAGCATCTGCCCCACCCTCAAAAACCCTCTTACAATGAACACCTGAGGGAGTTTTTCATTCAACTGAGAACTCAAGGCTCTTCAAGTAACAGAGACTAATAGCCTCCAGGCAAAAAGCTAGAGGATAACTGAACCCTTCCTGGGCTTGCAAATCTACCCAGGAAAGTAAGACTTGGCAGTGGTGTTTAACTTAGGTCCTCCCACGCTCACCTAAATCCAGTAGAAGAAGCCACAAACAGCAGAACACCAACACCCACAAAAAAAATTTGGCAGGCTCCAAAACCCACTGACATAGCTAAAATGGTGAAACAAATGCTAAATGAAAGAAAAAGAGACCTCTACTGAAGATGAGATAAATAAAATGCAGTTAAGCAAGTTATCAGAGGAAGAGGTCAGAGCCATGATCTTGAGGAAGCTCAAGAGAATGATAAAGATATAGAAGCATTGAAAATCAACCAACCAGAAATGAAAAACCACCAAGAAGAAGTGGAAAATGATATAGCAGAAATAAAGAACACACTGGAAGGACTAAACATCAGAGAAGAAGAAGCAGAGGACTGGACCAGTGAATTAGAGGACAAGGTAGAAAAAAATCAACCAATCAGAAAACCAAAATGAAAAAAAAAAAAAAAAAAAAAAAAACAATTAAAAACCAGGAAGACAGATTAAGAGAACTGTGGGACAAATAGAAACGGAATAATATTCGTATCATAGGAGTCGCCAAAGAAGAAGAAGATGAGCAAGGGTTAGAGAATATATTTGAAACAATAGTGACAGAAAACTTCCCTAATTTGGTGAAGGAAGAAGGCATTCAAGTTCAAGAAGCACAGAGAGCCCCAAGTAAGAAGAACCCAAACAGGACCACACCAAGACACATAGTAATTAAAATGCCAAAAATTTAAGGCAAAGAGAGAATCCTAAAGGCAGCGGGAGATAAGCAACAGGTTACCTACAAAGGAACCCCCATAAGGCTCTCAGCTTACTTCTCAACAAACACTACATGCCAGAAGGGAGTGGCATGAAGTAATCAAAGTCATGAAAAACAAAGATCTAAATCCAAGACTACTCTATCCAGTAAGGCTATCTTTCAAAGTAGAAGGTCAAATAAATAGCTTCCCAGACAAAAGAAGGCTAAAGAAATCCATTAGCACCAAACCAGCACTGCAAGAAATGAAATAGAAAAAAAAATATAACCACACTAAACAAAAAATGGCAATAAATAAGTACATATCAATAATCACCTTAAATGTAAATGGTTTGAATGCTCTGATAAAAAGACACAGAGTAGCTGAATGGATAAGAAAGCACGACTCATATATGTTGTTTACAAGAGATCCACCTTACAACAAAAGACTCACAAAGGTTGAAAGTGAAGGAATGGAAAAAAATCTTCCAAGCAAATGGAAAAGAAAACAAAGCTGTGGTAGCAATAATCATATGTGATAAAATAGATTTCAAAATGACCATAACTAGAGACAAAGAAGGCCACTACTTAATATTGAAAAAATCTATCCAACAGGAAGATATAACCTTGGTAAACATATATGCACCCAATATAGAAGCACCAACATATATCAAAAATTTTCTGGAGGACTTCAAAGGAGAAATCAACAGCAATACAGTCATAGCAGGGGACTTCAACACACCGCTGACATCACTGGATAGATCCCCTAAACAAAAAAATTAACAAAGAAACGGAGACTCTAAATGAAGCACTAGACCAAATGGATTTATTATATATCTACAGAGAAATACACACAAAACTACAGAATTCATATTCTTCTCACGTGCACATGAAACATTTTCAAAGATAGACCACATGTTAGGACACAAACTAAGTCTTTACAAGTTCAAGAAGATTGAAATCATATCAAGCATCTTCTCAGATCACAATGGCATGCAACTAGAAATCAACTGCAACAAGAACATGCAAAGACATTTGAAAACATGGAGGCTAAATAGCATGTTATTAAACAAGGAATGGGTTACCGAGGAGATCAAGGAAGAAATTAAAAACTTCCTGGAAACCAATGAAAATGAACATACAACAACACAAAACCTATGGGATGCAGCTAAAACAGTTCTGAGAGGGAAGTTCATAGCACTACAGGCCCACCTCAAGAAACAAAAAAATTTTCTAATAGACTATCTAACCTCACAACTTAAAGAACTAGAAAGCAAACAAAAAGAAAACCCCAGAGCAAGTAGAAGACAATAGTAAAGATCAGAACAAAAATAAATGACATAGAGACCACAAAAACAATTCAAAGAATCAATGAAACAAAGAGCTGTTTTTTGGAAAAGATAAACAAGATTGATGGACCCTTAGCTA